CTATCAGCCTGACTGACAGCAGCAGCAGAATCCAAACGCCGTTTTAATCCTTTTAGTACTGTTTTAATCTGGCGTCGTACACTGCATCTAATCTGTGGTGCTTTTGGTTTTAAGCTAGCGAGTTTCCACATCTCTGAAGGGAAACAGCCGAACAGACGAGCTCTGAGCGGGAGAATCCCCGATAAGCAGACAACACAAACTGACTGCTAACATAAATCTGTGGGTGATGAAGAGTTCTCATCATCGGAAAGGATTTTCAATTTAAACAGCAGCAGAGACAAAAAGCACCAAACTAAAGACGAAGCTTCTTCATGTAACCAACTGTACGAACCGACAGTCTCTCGTGATAAAAATGAAACTTTTCAGCTCTGATTCGTGTTTTCCCAGAGATTTGACATCGGACATCATTTTCTGGATAACAAACATTTTGATGTGAACCACAGGAATCAGACTTCCTGTTAAAAAGACTTTCTGTCTCTATAGGCTTCAGTCAGAAATAAACTGGAAGGAAAGTTTGATTCCTGCAGCGGAAAATGATTAAAACCTCTGAAACAAGATGGCAGCCGTCCGTAATGTGAGCTGAAGTCGGAGTGACAGACCTGCAGGGAGTCTTCGAGTCCCAAAAACACAGAAGGGCCTGCGGGCAGCGAGCTGTGGATGCCGTATGAGGTGGAATTTCCCTTTAAATACACACTTTGAGGAGCAGAGATTCCTGTGAGTGATTACAGTAATCACAGAGCCGCTCCTGGCTGTCTGCAGCCGTTTGACTGAAACGTTTCAGAAGACGCGTCTGATGGAGAACGTTTCCCTCCAGCCTGACAGGCGTCGTCTTCACCAGTTAAAACTTTTATTTCTGCTTCTGAAAACCACAAACTCTGAATTACAGCGACAACAAACACCATCAACAGCCAATATATTGATTTATGCGTTTTACCTCCTCTGACGTTATAATAAACGTCATATTTCAGCTCTTCTGCCTGTTTGCTTAAAATGAAACTAAAGATTTATTTGTTGCATCCAAATACAGAAAATGGTGAATTTGCTGAACGTTACAATATGACAGGTGAGTTTGTGGACGAATCATGTTGGATGTTTAATGAAGAGATGAAGAATACAACTAACAGGGAGCCAGAGCAGAACAAAAATAGGAAAATACGACAGGATGAGACGGGAGGAACCAGCAGGAGAAGAGATTAAAAACGGAGACGTGAACAAAACAGCTGAGCTGATTGGCTACCGGGTCGCAGGTGGGAGGACAAAGAGAAAATGGCACAGGGGGCGAGAGAGAGCACACAGGAGACAAAGAAATGAAGAATAACGAGAAACATAATTAAACCAGAGTAACAAGGAACAAACAAACCGAGAGACACGAAGAAGAACTGCACTAAAATAAGACTGGCCTAAACAAAGTAAACACAGAATACTCAAACAAGAAATACTGAAAACAACCAAAGATGCTGACATCGACATTTTCTCTGACGGTAAACTAAAACCTGGTTCAGCTGGGCAGAACGCTGGAACTGAACCCGCAACCCGCTGAACCTCAGCCACTTCTTCACCATCAAACGGCGACTTACTGCCCCAAGTCGACCAGCAGGATTTCAACCAGCAACCTCTGCCGTCGCACAGCCACGCTGAAGCTTTCAGGTAAATGAACTTTGACCTCAGGCACTTTCAGACCGACTGAAGGTTTTCTATCTGATGAAGATAAAAACAAGACAACAAGAACTGCTGAACCAAACGCTGGAATGAACCGAGGCGAGCCAGGAAACACTAGAAAATACTAGAACGAAATATTAAAACAAAAATATTAAAACAAAAAACATAATCAATGTGTCTGCGTGTGTGTGTGCGTGTAGGTGTGTGTGTGTGTGTGTGTGCCTGGGTGTGTGTGTGTGTGTTCGTGTCTGCGTGTATGTGTGCGTGTGTGTGTGTAGGTGTGTGTGTGCGTGTAGGTGTGTGTGTGCGTGTAGGTGTGTGTGTGTGCCTAGGTGTGTGTGTGTGTGTGCCTGGGTGTGTGTGTGTTCGTGTCTGCGTGTATGTGTGCGTGTGTGGGTGTGTGTGTGTGTGCGTGTGTGTGTGTGTGTGTGTGTAGGTGTGTGTGTCTGCGTGTGTGTGTGTGCGTGTGTGTGCGCGCGCGTGTAGGTGTGTGTGTGCGTGTAGGTGTGTGTGTGCGTGCGTGTGTGCGTGTAGGTGTGTGTGTGTGTGTGTGCGTGGGTGTGTGTGTGTGTGTGTGTGTGTGTGTGTGTGTGTGCGCGTGTGTCTGTGTGTGTGTGCGTGCGTGGGTGTGTGTGTGTGTGTGCGTGCGTGTGTGCGTGGGTGTGTGTGCGTGTGTCTGTGTGTGTGCGTGCGTGTGTGCGTGGTGTGTGTGTGTGTGTGTGCGTGCGTGTGTGTCTGTGTGTGTGTGCGTGTGTGCGTGTAGGTGTGTGTGCGTGTGCGTGTGGGTGTGTGTGTGTGTGTGTGTGCGTGGGTGTGTGTGTGTGCGTGGGTGTGTGCGTGTGTGTGTGTGTGTGCGTGGGTGTGTGTGTGTGCGTGGGTGTGTGCGTGTGTGTGTGTGTGTGCGTGGGTGTGTGTGTGTGTGTGTGTGTGCGTGGGTGTGTGTGTGTGCGTGGGTGTGTGCGTGTGTGTGTGCGTGGGTGTGTGTGTGTGTGTGTGCGTGTAGGTGTGTGTGTGTGCGTGTAGGTGTGTGTGTGTGTGTGTGCGTGGGTGTGTGTGTGTGTGTGTGTGCGTGGGTGTGTGTGTGTGTGTGTGCGTTTCTCCAGATAAACTCTCCACACACACAAAGACAGGAAGTTGCTCCTCTCACATTATCATTTATGAGCCAAAGTGCTGAAGTCCAGGCAAACCCTCGTGACCTTTGACCCCACACAAGCACCAAGGTTCCTTCTGTTCACTTTCATTCCTGAAGCGATAAGCAAACTCCCCTCAAAGGCTTGTGAAGATGGATGACCTTTGAACTTTACATTCCTGGTTCTGATCTGTTCCCGGCGTCTCGACAGCAAAAACGTTGGTTCTGACCTTAAACCGCGTCGGCTGCATCAGCCGATGAACCGATCGGCGTATCGTCTCAGCTGATCCGCTGGACTCCAGCAGATCAACCCAACAGAACATCCCACTGCTGCAGCTGAGGTCAGAGGTCAACAGACAAGAAGAGGTCCAGACCAGAACCAGGATCGACCCAAAGCAAACCAAGAGTTTCTCCTCTGAAGGGGAACAATGATCCACAGAAACCTGCAGACTGGAGGGACTGGAATGGCCTCGTCAAAGTTTGAGCCCAGCAGAGATGATGTGAAATGAGGTCAGTGGGGTCGTTTTTACTCCAGTTTGATGATCTGATCATTCTGACCCATTACTCCGGTTCAGTTCTGTTCGCTTCTGTTCAGTTCTGCTCTATTTTCTGCTCTTTCTGTCTTTTGGTTATAATCAGAGTTCTGCTCATGGTGATCCGGTCTGAGCGTTTGTCACCGGAGAAACATTGTTCTGAACTTTATCACCACACACACACACACACACACACACACACACACACACACACACACACACACACACACACACACACACACACACAAGAAAACACACACACAGTTGTGTTTGTGAACGTTGCCCCCATGTTAATTGCAGACTAAGGTCAGAAATGTAGCTGCTTTCGAGATGTGTGAATGGTAACTATGGAAGTCAATATAACAGCATGGTGCTGTGTGTAATTACACCTCATTACTCTGTGTGTGTGTGTGTGTGTGTGTGTGTGTGTGTGTGTGTGTGTGTGTGCGTGTGTGTGTGTGTGTGTGCGTGTGTGTGTGTACGTGTGTGCGTGTGTGTGTGCGCGTGTGTGTGTGCGTGTGTGTGCGTGCGTGTGTGTGTGCTTGTGTGTGTGTGCGTGTGTGTGCGTGTGTGTGTGTACGTGTGTGTGTGTGTGTGTGCGCGTGTGTGTGTGCTTGTGTGTGTGTGTGTGTGTGTGTGCGTGTGTGTGTGTGTGTGTGTGCTTGTGTGTGTGTGCGTGTGTGTGTGTGTGTGTGTGTGTGCTTGTGTGTGTGTGTGTGCGTGTGTGTTGGTTCTGGTGACAGGAAGTCACAGCTAACACTGAAACAGATCCAGACTGAAATAAATCCACTGACAGCGAGTCGGGCAGCAGCAGCTTCATGGGAAAAACCACTCAGCCGTGTTTCAGTCCGATATGTGAAGCAGCATCAGGAACCATTTGGCAGCAACAGCGGCTGCGTCAGGAACGATGCTGTGACGGTTCGGGCCTCTGGCTGATCACCGATCTTTGAAAAGCCTGATAGGATCATTCTGACCTTGTGTCAGTTTGGCAGTGGGGTGAAAGTCTGAAAGCGCAGTGGCTGCTCTTCAGATACGACCAGACGATGAGGTCGGCTTCACATGTAGAAATAGGACAGCTAACGTTATCTCGCTAGCGTTGCTAACATCACCAGCTGACCTTTTTCTGTGCATCATTTCCAAGTGACAATAAAAGTTTGAAGTACAACCTGTACGCTTTCTAATGGATGTTGTTTTTCAGACATATTTTAGAATCATGATCAAGCATTTGGCAGACATCTTCTCCTGCTCCCAGACAACCAGAGCTAGCTGCTGTGGAGAATTGATGTGTGAGGCTGAAGAAGAGTCACGAATTCCACTTATTAATACCACAATACATCTGGTCCATAGTTCATGCTCTCCTCAAGGAGGCTGGCAGAACAAAATGGCTTCTTATTCTCTTTGTTAGCCTCCATCTAAGCTCACCCTTAAAGGGTGTTTCCTAACATGTCATTTCTTTAGCTTTAGCTTTGCAACTAGCTAAAAGAGGTAGAAGGCAAACCCAGAATGATTTATTCACTTCCTATTGGTTTGAATGAAGACGGAGTGAGGACATCCGACTTCCTAACAGAGCTCCCAGCTGACTGGACGAAACATCAAGACGATGTTTGGAGTCACACAGGAACATTGTAACTGGTAAGCATGGTGGGACTGGACTGGACCCAGTCCCAGTCCCAGTTTACCTGAGTTACTGGGCGATCTGTGACTGCCGCGCCGCGACCCCTCAGGCATGGTGTGAGGATTTGGAAGGAAGCAAAAACCTGGAGAGAAGCAGGACAGAAACGGCGTTAGAGCCAGTGGACAGCATCTTCATCATTCTTCATTGCAAACAGGAAGTAGAAACCCTGAAAACGCCGCTGGTTCCACCGCCGTGGATCCTGGCGCTCTTCCTCTGTGTGAAAAATGTGAGCACAGATGTAACGTTTGGCTGGAAGACAAGAATCCACTGTCTTCATATTACCAAGCGTGTGTGTGTGTGTGAGAGGGTGTGTGTGTGTGTGAGGGTCTGTGTGTGTGTGTGAGGGTCTGTGTGTGTGTGTGTGAGGGTCTGTGTGTGTGTGTGTGTGTGAGGGTCTGTGTGTGTGTGAGGGTCTGTGTGTGTGTGTGAGGGTCTGTGTGTGTGTGTGAGGGTCTGTGTGTGTGTGTGTGTGTGTGTGTGAGGGTCTGTGTGTGTGTGAGGGTCTGTGTGTGTGTGAGGTGTGTGTGTGTGTGTGTGTGTGTGTGAGGGTCTGTGTGTGTGAGGGTGTGTGTGTGAGTGTGTGTGAGGGTCTGTGTGTGTGTGTGAGAGAGTGTGTGTGTGTGTGTGAAGGTGTGTGTGTGTGTGTATGTGTGTGTGTGAGGGTCTGTGTGTGTGTGAGGGTCTGTGTGTGTGTGTGTGTGAGGGTGTGTGTGAGGGTGTGTGTGTGTGAGTGTGTGTGTGTGTGTATGTGTGTGTGTGAGGGTCTGTGTGTGTGTGAGGGTGTGTGTGTGTGTGTGTGTGTGTGTGTGTGTGTGTGTGTGTCTGATCCAGCTTTGAATCTTCTGTATCTTTTGAAGCAGAGTAAACTTTAACCGGTCTGATAAAGGAGGTGAGGCCACCCAGGAAAGGCCAAGACCAGATTGTAGGGGAAGAATTTAAAGCATTTGGCATTCAAAGTCCAGGCCGGGTTTCAGGGTTCGGACCGGACCCAGACTTTATGAAAGAGTTCAGTGAAGTTCCCACAGCCTGGTCTGTCTGAATCTGAACATTCAGATCCAGTTTGACTCTGGTTGTTAGTCATGGTCCCGGCTCTGGACCCAGATCTCTCTGTGGACAGTTGGGTCCCGCTAACGCTAATGCCGGCTAACCCTGCTAACGGCAGCTAACTGCCGGCTAACCCCCGCTAACGCTAATGCCGGCTAACCCTGCTAACGGCAGCTAACTGCCGGCTAACCCCCGCTAACGTTACTGCCGGCTAACACACTACCGCCGGTTAATCCCTGCTAACGCTACTGCCGGCTAACGCCGGCTTACCCCCGCTAACGTTACCATTGGCTAACCCCCGCTAACGCTAACGCTGGCTAACGCCGGCTTACCCCCGCTAACGTTACCACCGGTTAACCCCTGCTAACGCTAACGCCGGCTAACCCCTGCTAACGCTACTACCGGCTAACGCCGGCTTACCCCCGCTAACGTTACCACCGGTTAACCCCTGCTAACGCTAACGCCGGCTAACCCCTGCTAACGCTACTGCCGGCTAACGCCGGCTTACCCCCGCTAACGTTACCACCGGTTAACCCCTGCTAACGCTAACGCCGGCTAACCCCTGCTAACGCTACTGCCGGCTAACGCCGGCTTACCCCCGCTAACGTTACCACCAACCCAGTGGGAGGAGCCAACCGACACTTCCTGTTTCTGCGCTGCAGTTCTGAGGAGAGTTCTGATGCGGTCGGTCCCGCCTGCAGTTCTCTTTTCTCCCAGGTTTCTTCCAGCTTCCTTGGTTTTCCGACAATGACCCAGCAGGACCGGAACCAGGACCAGGACCAGAATCAGAACCAGAATCATGACCAGAACTAGGACCAGGACCAGAGCCAGGGCCAGGACCAGAACCAGAACCTCCTCTGTTCAATCTGGTGGTTTTTTTCATGGCAGCTGCTGGCAGTTTGTCATGTGACTTTCTTTGACCAATCAGCCGTGAAGCTGCAGAGGCCACGCCCAGCGTCTCCATGGCAACGGTTGCCTCCTCAAACTGGACTCAAACATGCAGGACGGAAACTGAGACTGATCTTAGCAACGCTGCTGATTATTATGGGATGGAGCGGGTTCTGTGAAGCGGGTCATCAGAACCAGAACACAGAGCTGGGGAACAAACAAATCCGAGTTTAACTGGCGAATTAAAATGAGTAAAAAAGCACAAAGAACCAGATGAAATGTTAAAATAATGGACAACAACCCCACTGTGACGGCAGATAATGGCTCATTGTTTATCAGCAGCAACAAAAAGCAGAGATGACGTCAGGAGAGGCCCAGTTGGCCCGGTTCTGGGAGAGCACAACGTGAGGAGGCATCTGTGACCCAGTAACACACTGAAGCATGCTGGGATATCCACCACCGCCATCCATGTTTGGTTCGAGAAAAGACAGGAGGTTTAACAACGCAGAACGAACATAAAGAAACAAAAAACACCAGAAATAAACACTAAACTTGAAGGAATTAGCCTGTATGGTAACAGCCACCGTTAGCACCGCTAGCTACGCTAAAGTGCTAAGCGTTTAGAAGTTAGAAAAAAAAGGACTAAACAAAAAGAAGGCTCTGCTATAGCATGATCACAGCTTACATTGATATTATTGCTTGTATTTTTACTTATAGCACAAGCAAAAAAGGAGCTGCTAACCAATAAACATCAGCTCTGCTAACGCTAAACCAACATTCTATTTAGCGGAAGCTAATGGTAAAGCACTAAATTGAAGTTGGGCAGTTTGTCGCCCTCATGAGGTTAAATCTGTCATTACCTGATTCAGGACCTGATTCTGGGTCTTCAGCTCTGTAGCAGCTGATCTTTGCTACTGAAGCATGAAGGACATCAGGAGATCTAAAACTGTGAATAACTGTCACTTACTGCAATGCATCATGGGTGGAGAACCTGAGGAGGAACTGCTGCGTAAACAGAATTCAAAATAAGAGCATGAAGAAAAGGTCTGAGGAACTCTTACAGTTGATAACCAAAACCTCAACACAGATGCTGAACTTCATTTTACTGAAATTTTACTAAACATTAAAACCAGAAAATTTGAGTTTTAGAATTTATCTGGAAAACTTAATTGAGAGCTAAATGTTTTTAAAGCTAGCAAAATGTTGGCTATCAGCAGGTTAGTGGAAGTGCTCACTGTTACACAGAAAATAAGAAAGTAAAGCAAAAGGAATGAACCCGTATGGCAACACATTGTTGTCAACAATACAGAACTCAGACATGATCCACACAGCAACATGTTGATTGGTCCCGTAAAGCTTCTTGGTGCTGATAGAATCGGACCTCAGGTTCCGGGTTATCCAGTTTATGTTCCTTCAGGGTTTTAAAGTAAGACATGCTGCACTGAGCTCGGTCCGGAATCCAATAAAACCCCTGATCCACATCACATCCTCCTGTTCCCCCGCCTGCTATCATCTGAATCTGATCAGAACCAGAACCAACACTGACTGGGTTTGGTCTCATGGTTCTAAAATTCTGTTCAGGTTCCTGAACTGAAAAACATCAAACATGAGATGCTAACATGTAGCTTCGTCCCGTCTCTGAATCAGAACCAATTGATGAAGTTGTGCATTTATTTCATCTGCCCTGAGGAGCGCGTGTGATGAATGGCCCAGAACCAGAACCACAGAGGCCCAGAACCAGAACCACAGAGGCCCAGAACCAGAACCACAGAGGCCAGAACCAGAACCACAGAGGCCCAGAACCAGAACCACAGAGACATGCTGCTCATGTCTTTGATCCAGAACCCAGCAGGACTTCCTGTTTGACCCATTTCAGAACCACTGAGGTGAAGAACTGAAGGGGAGAAGCTGCTCTTGTTTGGAGTCGCAGGTCGGTTCTGTGGTCTGGGTTCAGAACCGGGCCGAAAGAAAGTATTCCTCCAGCCTAAACACGAGGCTGGCGCTCCGACACCATCCTCCTGACAGACGTGGGCCGGCCGCTGTGTGTGGTCCAGAACCAGAACTGGGTTTCTGCTGGTGCTGAGCGTACTGATGCGACCCAGAACCTGGAACTTTCTGTGACGGATCGGACCTGAAATCTGAAGCCAGGTTCTGCAGGAGGCGTTTCAGGGGTTCAAACTCCAACCCTAACCCATCCGTCACTCTCTGACCCGAACAGGAAGAACCGTCACAAATACCAACATTCTCCACAGCAGAAGAATGAAAAATATAACACGCTATTTAGCTAAAGCTTATGCTAATGCTGAAGCGCTACACCAAAACACTATTTAGCTAAAGCTAATGCTGAAGTGCTAACCAGCATTTAGCGGAACTAAACTTGAAGGAATTAGCCTCTATAGTAACAGGCTATACAGGCTGTGAGTACCATGAGTACCATGCTAGCTTGAGCATGGTACTCAAGCTAGCTCTTATACATTTTACCTACATGCTATTTAGCAGAAGCTAATCATGGAGGATCTCTAACTTTCTCCACACAGGATGGGATTTGAACCAAAGACCTTGTTGCTGTGAAGCAACAATGCTAACTATATCAGAGCTTATAAACCCAACAGAACTACAAATCCCAGTGAGCTCCATGATGAATGCATTTATTATTCCATTGAGTAAAATGAACTAAAGGAGAGATTTTTTTAGAAACATCTTATCCACTTTCTCAATAAGAAACCCGGTTCTGCTGGGACCTCGATCAGAACCGGAACCGTTCCTTCTGAAACATGTCAGACAGAAAGATCTAGAAAACCAGCCGAGAAAATGAAGGGCATTTCCACAGAGAGGGTCAAAACAATAAGATACAAAAATAGATCAGCCTTCAGTCTGCTCTGTTTGCTTTAGCTCTATTGTCCTGTGATGAATTCTGGGAAACGGAGTCGTCTCAACGGACAGTCGGACATCAAGATGAGTCAGACACACACAGCTGTTTCCAGAACACACACATCACAGCGTCAGACTTTCTGCTTCACTCTCACAAGTTAAAGCCTGTTTTCTCCGTCATTCTGGCCATAAAGTCGCAGTTTGGTGATGATGTAACATTTCTGTCGCTGCAGGGACTGAAACATAAATCTGTGTCAGTCTGACTTCGCATTACCTTCACCAGGTTATGATCCAAGAGCTTCTTTTCATTTTTCCTGAAGAATTGACTCTTTCGGGACTCAAACCCACAACCTTTGACTGTCTGTTAGAGCTAGAAGTGCAACGCGCCGTCCGCTGCACCACAGAGAAATGTTTCCATGTGAAAACAGTTTGTTCCTTCAGATGATCATTCAGAGAACTGACTGTAAAAAAATGACACGTTATCATATTTATTTCTGACTCAAGCTTCACGTCCATTTTAGATTTTATTAAAGTGGCTTTGACCTGTTTGGGATTCAAACCATCAACCTCTACAGGTCAAGCTCTCCTATCGGAGTTTAAAGCAGACATTGGTCTAATTTTAAACCAGCTTTTGTCAGTTGCTGTGGAGCGAAGCAGCATGTTTG